TGTGAAACCCCTCTGAGCTCCGGGACCTCCTGGCCAGTCTCCATCCCTTGTCTCCTCGTATCTCAGACCACCCATGCTGGGGGAGGAACGCCAGATTCTGATTTTCCTGCTGATCCTGTGCTCCATTCCCGAGGTTCCTGCAAAATTTGGGATGTGCATCTTCCTGGCTTGGGGATCACCAGCTTAGGTCCCCCTGCTCCTGCATCCTCTGAGGCCAGGCATGGAGAGCAGCAGCCATGGGGGCTCATCCAGCAGCAGATGTGGATTTGCAGCTGGTGTGTCTGATCCATGATGAGTTTATCTTCTCTGTAAGGTGTTTTTGGGTTGTTTTTAAAATAAGATCCAAGGCTGCGAGCGCCCTTTTCACCTTCACATCCCAAACACCTTGCAAAGCCTGTGTTCCCTCCTGTGCAGGGGAACCTGAGGCAGGGGGAGCCCATGGCTCACAGCATCACCACCAATGGGAGCTGAACCTGCTCCTGGCTGGCCTCATCTTCCTGGCCAACCTTCCTTGTGAGAAAACTCTCCTTGGGCTACCAAACACCCAGGATGCTCCTCTGGACTGGGATCTCCAACGTGGATCCCCCATCCCCACCTCAGGCTCCTGGGATGAACCTCATGTGGAGATGCTGGTGAAGTTCCACAGCTTCAACAAAAATCCTAAATATCTTCCCTGTGGCTGATGGATGACCCTGAGCTGTGTCCCTTTTTCCTCCAGATTCTGCAGATTTAGTTGCCCAAAGGATTTCCTGGAGGAGGGGGCTGGAAGGAGCTCCTGACCCCCATTGTTCATGAGGTGGCCTGGGAGGGGAGGGAATTCCTCCTTCCATCTCCTCCCATCCCAAAAAGCTCTTCCATCCCAAGCACAGGAGTTTGGCTGAATGAATTTATTGGTAGAGAGCTGTGTTCTCTCCTGGTGGGAGGAGAACAAATTCCATGACCCCCCAAAGGGAAACAGAGTCCCTTAAACCCTGGGACCTTCTCCTTTCCCCCAAATTCCCTTGGAATGCCACAGGAGGGCAACCTGCCCTGTGTCCAAACTTCCTTAGAGAGGCACAGGGAGGAAATCCCAGCTCCAGACAATGGGAACAGGAACAGATGGGGAATCTGCTCCTCCTGCAAGCTGGGAGAGCCATTTCCCAGACAATCCTTGGGTCTTGTCCAAGACCAAAATACCAGGAGGGTTTTATTTTTGTGTGTCACAAGGAAACCCCTCCTTCCCCTGCAACACGGTGTGCACCATATTCCTGATTGACCCCAGGGCTGGGGAGAGCTCTCTTCTCCTCTCATTTATGGCCTGGCTGGAGTTCCTCCACCCAGTGCTCACCCCAGGGTCACATTTAAGGCTGCCCAGCTCCCTCTGACCTGCTCTGTCCCTTGGAGATTGATGAGCAGCCATGAAAATCCACATGGTTTCTGCTCCTTGCTGCCAGGAGAAGGGAAAATAAAGGAGTTTTTGTGGGGTTTCTGCACGTTGCAGCCTGTAGAAGACAGGGCACATGGATAGCAAAGGAGCAGCCCCATGCTATAAATTAATTAAGGTACATGAGGATAAACTTTGCTGGAGCAATTTGTTTCTCTCCCTGCCTCTCCCATTTTTGGTGCTATGGGTTGTGCCACTGTTTCTCTGGCTGCATCCTCAGAGGGTGAGGATCCCATGTCCCACCCTGAGGAATGAAGTTCTTGGGTTTCTGTGGTTGAAATGGCTCCTGAGGTTTTAAAAGTCTTTTTTCCCAGCCCCACAACCACAGAAGAAGTTGAGATTCATCGGTTCTGCATTTCAAGGCTGTTTCTTTTCTCTTATCTATTCCATTCTTTCTCTGACCTGCTGAGATCTGTCTGGCAGGTCGGGTTGAGGCACTCTGACCACCCTTGGGGTGGTGTTGGCTTTTCATACTAAAACCTATGTGTGCATTATTTACAATAATTTTACAATAATTTTCCAATTCCTATCACCTGTGTTAGACAGTCTGTCTCTACTCTAAACCAATCCAGAAGTGCCACCATCACCCACAAGATGGAGGCTAGGAAGAAGGAGAAGAAGGACAGGACACACCCAGATTCCTCCATCTTGCCTCTTGAACCCCTATTCTGAAACCCCAAAATTCTACTTTTTCACCCTGTGACAAATTCACTGTCATTCTTCTCAAACTCTTGTGGCTTGTAACTCCTCACACAAAGCTGGTAATTGTTTCCATGGGTTAAAATCAAAGGCACAGGTGTTTGTGACTCTGTGCCAAGGTCTCTGAGCCCCCTGCCAGGGTCTGGAGCCATCCAGGGCAGCCAGAGGAATGTCCTGGGTTCTGACATGAAGTGACTTTATAAGGACAAGCCAAGCCCTTGAGCAGGTCAGAACTGCTCCTCTAAGAGTTGCACACTCTCTTTTTTTGTTCAGTTTGACTTTTTGCTCTTTCTCCGTGCTCTGGGGGTGGATGCCAACTTTTCCTGGCTCCAGTGGGTGTGGAGGTGTGGGGAATGCTGAGCAAGGTGAGGCTCTGAGGGTGATTTGTGCAACCACAGCCCAGCAGAGGCTGGAGGTCCCTCAGGAGGTGCAGATGCCACCAGCACCCCATGCCAGTGTTTGCCAGGGAGACTTTTATTTCCTATCCACCTGAAATTCCTCTGGCTGCATCTTGCCCTTCCATGGAGTGTTTTTGGGATGCCTGTGAGCAGCACAGAGCAGCACAGCTTCCCTATCCCCCTAAACTCAGTGCCATCACCCTGATCCTTAATGACACTCCACAGCCTCATCCCTGGGAGGTGCCACCACCAGCTGGGCCCTGTCACCATCACAGCGGGGGGCACAGGGTGGCACCAGATGCTCCAGGACACCAGGATGGTATGAGGTCACAGGACCCTATTTTCTGAGGGGTTTACACCCAGAATCCCCATTTTCCACCAGCCACAGGACCCTGTTCTGAGGGGTTTACACCCAGAATCCCCATTTCCCCAGAGATCAGGTCCATTTCTGCAGAGCAAGAACTGAGGGAGCTCAGCACCTCTAAGGCTGCATTTCTGCTTGGTGTTGTTATTTCTCACCGCTTTTCACACCCTTTTAAGCTGGCTGGGAGCTGTGCAAGTGTGCTTGGTGTGAAGCACCTTTCAAACACAGGGCAGGGGCAGTGAGCCCCTGATGGCACCAGCAGTGGGATGGAAATGGGCAAAACAATGGGAAAACAGCCCCGAAATGGGGCTTATCTCCCACTGGGGGGGAATCACTTCCAGCCCAGCCCTGAGCACCTTTGGGTGCTCCCATCCCTCCTCTGGATCAAGGCAGGGTTAATCCATGCCACGACCACAAATCCTGTTCCCTACCAGTGCCAGCCCCAGACAGCACCAGTTCAAACGTGAACCTGAGCCAAATCCCTCCAGGCACGTTTTCATCATCTCATCATCTTTTTTTTTTTTTTTTTTTTTTTTTTTTCCTGCCGGTGACAATGGCTTTGCTCAGGGCTCTGCCCAGCCCTTTCCTCAGACAGAATCAGTGAACCAGGCTGGCTCAGACATGAATGTCCTGGTTTCCTTCCCTCCCCCTGCCCGTGTCTCCGCTCGGAGGAGCCGCTCTGCAGAGCATCACCAGGCGATGTCTCAGTGACCCGGTGGCCTGTGCTGGCCCTGCCCCGTGCCCCGGGGCTCTCTGCAGATCGGGAGCATCGCTTTGCTCCCTCCCTGCACTTCCTGTGCCCGGCTTCGCCCAAAGCAGATCAGGCTGATGATAAAAAGCAGGGCTGGAGGATGCGGCAATTCGCATTCTCTGAAAAATTCTTTCGCCCGGGATTTTTCTCCTGAGGAGCCTCAGAGAAAAAGGAAAACAATTCTTATCTCATTTGCTTCTCCTGTGTTGTGCTTATCTAGAATGTATTTGTAAATTGTTTACCCACAGGTGATTGTTTCATTGGATTCTGGTGTGAGTTGTTTTCACTCATTGGCCAATCAGTGCCAAATAGTTTTGAGACTCTGGAGAGAGTCAGGAGTTTTCATTGTTATCTTTTTAGCCTTCAGTAAGTATCCCTTCTGTATTCTTTAGTATAGTCTACTTTAGTATTCTTTAATATAATATAGTATTATAAAATAATAAATTAGCCTTCTGAGAACATGGAGTCAGATTCACCATTCCTCCCTTCATCAGGGGACCCAGCAAATATAATAATACATAATAGAACCATAACCATAATAGTCATCCTAATAACTACAACTATAGACAATAATAAAACATAAAATCATCATCATCATAATCATCAATCATAAGTCTAGAATGTGTTTGGAGATTGTTGGATTGGATTCTGGTGTGAGTTGTTTTGTCTTGGCCAATTATGGCCAAGCTGTGTCAGGGCTCTGGAGAGAGTCAGGAGTTTTCATTATTATCTTTTTAGCATTGAGTAAATATCCTTTCTGTATTCTTTAGTATAGTTTAGTATAGTATTCTTTAATATAATATAATATTAAAGAATAATGAATTAGCCTTCTGAGAACATGGAGTCAGAATCACCATTCCTCCCTGCCACAGGAATCCCTGCAAATACACCAGGAGAGGAGGAGGGGAGGAGAAAGAGAGAGAGGGAAAAGATGATGCCGGGGGCGTTGCAAGCAATCCCTGCTGTAGACACAACCTGGTTTGACAGCCTGGCATCTCCTGGGACACCCCCCAGGAAAAGGGGAGACCACCAGGGCTGGGACCCTGTGCTGACCTCAGTGCCCAGAGCCCCTGGGCTGGTCTGGGGAGGTGTTTGGGGTCACCCCAGATGCCAAACCCCATTATTTCTGCCAGGCTCCGGGGATGCCGCTCGCTGCTCCCACCGCCTCTCCTCCCAGGGCATCCACAGCCAGGCTGCCTCCCACGGGGCTGTGCTGCATGCTTGGCTTGCCTTGATGGGAGGTGGTCGCTGTCAGGCTCGCAGAATCCCCGGACAAAGCGTTTTCCAGGCTGCAGGGACACGGGTGAGATCAGCCTCAGCGCCTGCCTGGATGGAGCCAGAGCTTTGCAGAGCATGGAGGCAGCGTGTGCTGGGGAGAGCTGGGCTGGTGGAGCGTGAGACATCCCTGCCTGGGCCATGGACACCTGCCCAGCATCCTGGTGTGGGTGCAGAGGTGAGGAGCTCAGCTGGGAATGCCGGGAGAGGGACCGTGTGCCTCCAGGATTTTGGGAGAAGGGAGGACTTGCGTGCCCTCTCCTTCAGCCCCAGCCTGGGGGATGACCTGGGGCTGGTCCTTCTGTGGGTGGGACCCGTGGCAAAGTGAGCAGAGTGGGGCTGGACCCTGCCTGGGGGCTGCTCCAGACCCTGCCTGGGGGATGCTCCAAACCCTGCCTGGGGGATGCTCCAAACCCTGCCTGGCTTTTGGGGTTGGTTTGGACAGAGGGTTTGGCCAAGGCTGTTTCTGCCTGGAGATCGGGCAGAAATCCAGTGGCCAATGCAGGGTTTGATCTCCTGTGCCCACCCTCAAACGCTGAGGGGGCTCCTGGAGCTGCTGTGTGGGGTGGTTACAGCACAGAGGGATCCCCTGGAAAACAGGAGAGGCACATGGCCAGCTCACAGGTTCAGCTTTCTGCAAGGAATTCTGTGTCTAAGGGCAAACACACGAGGATTTGTGCACTAGCCAGGATCTGAGTGGGCGTGGAGCTCCTTTATTTATTCCTCCATGAGCAGAGCTCTCCCAGGGTGGGAGGATGAGGAGGAAGCTCAGCTCCAGCTTCCTCTCAGTCCTTCTCCCTGTTTGTCTCCGTCCCTCCCTGTGGCTGCAGAGCCTCCTGGCAGCCCACAGCACTTTTTTAGCCATTCCAGAGCATTTGAATAGCCCCAGCAAGGGTGAGCCCTGATTTATTGGGAGTGTTTTATGGTGTTTATGTTGGCAGGCTGCAGTTTGTGTACGGCTGGAAATGTTGGCTGAAGCCTTTTATCACCAGGGCTGAAAAACAACAGAGAGCTGATGAAAAGTGCTGTGCTAATTGCAGAGGGGTTGAGCCAGGGCTGGGGCTGTGAAATCTCTCCACCAGCCTGGCTCTGAGGGGCTGCTGGAGAGATGACTGCAGCCATCAGCAGGGTGGGATCCATCCAGGTTGGGTCGTTTTGCCACTGAAGGTCACATCTGGCACTGAGAGGGACAGATTGTGCTGGTGCCTCAGGCTCCTGTCGCTGCTCACAGCCTGACAGAACAAGATGATCAGCAGATGTAAGAGGTTTCAGCTTGGGAAAAAAAGCAGTTGGTTAAATGTAAGGGTTTTTTTATAATTCAGATGTGGGGCAGCACTTTGTGCTGGTGTTGGAAATGGGGCTCATTTCCACCTCATCACTCCTCTCCCTATGTCTTTGTAGGATCTCAGTGTCCCAGCTCAGGTTTTAGTGAAATCTGTCTTGGTGAGATCCCATCATCACCTGTGAGATTCAGAGTGATTGAACCTCACAAGCCCCTCACAAGAAACAACCTCCTGCTCTTCATTTTCCACGGGACTATCCCCCTCCCATGAGTCCTGCAGAATTAGTCTGAGAGCAGGAAACGTTTTCAGGTGCCAGCAATGGATCATCTTGGAGCATAGGGAAAGAATTCACCCACCTGCCGTAAGAAACACACTTTGAAATCAGCTCCTGATCCCTCCAGCCATGCCCACCTTCCCTTCTCCACATCGCAGGTGCTGAGGAGCAGTGGGTGATCCATGGGGTGTGAGCAGCACCTTGGTGTGGGATGGGAACTCCTAAGGACAGTGTAAAATGTAAAAAGAGCTGCAGGGGGATGCCACACCTTGGGCAGGGTGTGCTTTGGTTCCTGAGAAGAGTTGGTGGCATCTAGAGGAGTGGAGGGAAGAGCTGGAGGCTGAGATGAGTCCCAGACAGTCCCAGGATGTCACAGAGCCCCAGAATGGTTTGGGTTGGAAGGGCCATGGGCAGGGACACCTTCCACCGTCCCAGGCTGCTCCAAACCTCATCCATTCCAGGGATGGAGCAGCCCCAGCTGCTCTGGGCACCCTGTGCTCAGCTGTGACCGTGTTCACAGGGGTCTGAGGATGAGGGAAGAGATGAGGATCTGACTCCATGTTTCAGAAGGCTGATTTATTATTTTATTATATATATTACATTAAAACTATATTAAAATAATAGAAGAAATTATTTCATCAGAACTCTAGCTAAGAATAGAATAGCAAAGAATGATAACAAAGGTTTGTGGCTCAGACTCTCTGTCCAAGCCAGCTGACTGTGATTGGCCATTAATTAGAAACAACCACATGAGACCAATCACAGATGCACCTGTTGCATTCCACAGCAGCAGATAATCAATGTTTACATTTTGTTCCTGAGGCCTCTCAGCTTCTCAGGGGGAAAAATCCTAAGGAAAGGCTTTTCCCTAAAAGATGTCTGCGACACTCAGCTCCAGGGAGGGTTGACCACCCAAATTTAAACAATGAAATCCCACCCCAGTGCCTTAAATCCAGTCTTGGAGGATGCCACAGAGATTTTATCCTTTGGAGGAGACCATGGCACAAGGTCCTGCCTCTGCATTATCACCCCAGAGTTGCTCCATACCCTGCAGCCCTTATCCCACAAACATCCACTGGGACTCCCTGCCAGGCAAAAGGGCATTTATTCCAGGCCATCAGCTTAGGAAAGGTCCTGGCTGGCATTAGGCACCTCAGTAGATGTGTCTTGCTGGGTGGAAGGGAGGGAAGGCAGGGCATAGCATTACAAGCACATCTACGTGCCTCTAGTCCAGTCACAAGTACAAGAAAATTTAAGGAATTTGGTTCAAAGTGTTTTAGTGAGGCAGAGAACCTTCTGTTTTAAGAGGTTTCTGATATCTCTCAGCCTGCACTGAACCACACAGATTGTAAAGGAGGAGGAAAAAAGAAAAAAAAAAAACAACACAAAACCAACAAATCCCCCACTTTGCTACTGGCGGTAAAATTTTGGCTGACACATTTGAGCCTCTATTAACCCCTGGCCCTGTGAACGTGCTGCTCAGGGACAGGCCTTACAGTAGGAGAGCCCATCCTGCTGTTATTCCAAGCTTCCTCAAAACCAGCCAAAACAAATATTTGGAGGAAAGGCAGGGGCTGCCTGGAGGGAGGGCTCGGGCAGGAATGCTGCTGCCACTGGGCAGGAGGTGACATCACCCAGATTCCTTCACTGAGGAATGTGGGATTTCGTCTTCCCTGCCAGGAATTGCTGTTCAAAAACAGGCCTGCCCAGGGAAAGCAGATTCCACCCAGCCCCTTGCATTGCCCAGCAGAGAGGCTGAATGTTCCCAAATCCCCTTCTTGTCCCTGGTTTAATATTGTGTGGACAGACAAGGCAAAATTGGTCATCTCCCAAAGCACAAGTGAAAGCACCCAAAATTCCAAAAGTGGGAGCTGGACACACAAATCTGGGCAGGGAGAGCTGGTGGGCAGCACTGACTAATTGGGGTGGCCAGGATGGGGCAGGTGATGGGCTGGGGTGTGTGTGGGCTTCTGTGCTGGGCAGATTTGCTGAGAGCTGCAGGAGGAGCCCATGGTGACCCCGTTTCTCAGTCCTATGAAGCCCTGTGACCACGTTGGGTGTTTCTGAATGTAGAACTTCAGTGGTGACTGGAGAGTGTTGGTCCTTGTAGATCCCATTTGGATGTTCTCTGGTTCTGTGGCTGGAACGGGCTGATGTGCAGAGCATTGTGAGCAACCAGCTTGAGCCAGGGCAGGGATTGTCCCCCTGGGACACCTGGAATTCTGTGTCCATGTGTGGGCTCCTCATGACCAGAAGGACATTGAGGGTCTGGAGCACCAGGAGGGGCTGAGGGAGCTGGGAAGGGGCTCAGCCTGGAGAAAAGGGGGATCAGGGGGGCCCTTGTGGCTCTGCACAGCTCCTGACAGGAGGGGACAGCCAGCTCTGCTCCAGGGAACAGGGACAGGAGGAGAGGGAACAGCCTCAGTTTGTACCAGATGAGGTATTGATTGGATATTAGGGAAATTTCTTCCCTGAAAGGTTGATCAGGCATTGGAAAAGGCTGCCCAGGGTAGTGGTGGAGTCCCATCCCTGAAAATGTTCAAATACACATTGATATGGCTACTAGAGACATGGTTTGAGGTGAACATAGCAGTGATGGGTTGATGGCTGGACTTGATGATCTTAGAGCTCATTCTCCCAACCTTAATGACCCTTAATGATCAGTCTGGTAGGGCTAACTCAGCCAGGCTGAATTTCATCCTATCCATGTAATTCCTGGGAAGTGGATGGGATTGCATGAGTGGAATCAGAGGGCCTGTGGCAGGTTTGGGGAGGGGTTTTAATGAAGGTAATAAATTTGTGGGTTTGTGTTCTGCAAAGATGCTCTTTCTTCAGGCTTTGAAGCTGTATTCATTTCTTCTCCTTCTGTATAAGGAATTGGTGCTGCCTTCATTGCTGCATATAACTGGAATTGGAGGTGGATGCACAAAGATGGCATTTGCATTAATTTGGGATTAATTGGTATTTCTGACATGTACCTGTCTGTGGTGTTGCGTGTTTTTACAAGTTTTATTGTTGTTTCTATTACAAAAAATAGCTATTCTCTGTTCGTTAGAGAAATGGTTAGATGCTTTGTACCCCCACTCCATCCCCTCAGAACGCTTTCCCCCTAAGTTGTTTACTCCCTACCTCATCCATTCCTTCTTTTCCATGAAGCTTTTGCCTTCTCCTTTGGGTTGAACACCCCACATCCCATCTCCATTCCCTGGAGCCTGCAGCCCTCCACCCAGCCCAAGCTCTGTGGTGGCTCCACAAACACCTCTGGAAATGGATGTCAGCAGCAGCAGAGGGGTCAGTTCCTGTGGGATGGAGGCTGCTGCCACCATTTCAATAGCTGGAACTAGGTGTAGTTCAGCTGCCCCCATTACCAGTCCAGCTGGGTGATTTAGTGCCTGGAAAAGACTGGAATATTTTGCTCCCAGTGCCTGACAGAGGATGGCTGGCAGGAAATGAGCTCCAAGGCAGGGCAGGTTTTGCTGGCTCTCTAATTTCCCGCCAGGTTTTGGAAATTCTTGGCAATGAGATGGAGAGCAGGAGAGAAGGGCTTTGGCCAAAGGAGAAATCCCACTTGGTCAGCGGGATTTTTGGGAAGGGTGGAGTGAGGAGCTCTGAATGGGCAGC